AGATGTTTTCATTGGGTGACATATCTGGAGACTGCATACCCGGGCAACCATCGAATACCCTGTGTATCGACGAAGTTCTGAACACGACGTGCAGCGTGTGGTCTTGCATTATCTTTTTAAATGTGGATGTTTGGCAGTCCTTAAAAATGTAAGATGCCAAGTACCCTGGACGTAAGATGTCAAAAATGTACCAATCTGCGTTCAGGTTACTGTCATTTCCAGCTAGAAACGTGCGTGAGATGTATTGAATGGCTTTCAAAAGCGTTACACAAAATACAGGGCCACTATGCAGGTATTGAATGCAAGCATTCCACGAGCAGTTTCCTTGAAATACAAACACGTATACAGCCTTTAGAATATGGTACGCAGAACCAGGACGCATCTGAAAAGTCGACATTGTGCCATTGCACTATCCAACTTTGTTATTCGGCTACCCAGAGTCACTCTTTCTCCCTATGATGGAATGTCAATGGTCGGCTTGTTGACAGATTACATTAATGGAGACGTCGTCGCACTGTACGAAGCGAAACTAACAACATGCACATTTCTTGATTAATGGTTCATGATGGGGGGTTATACGAGTTCCGCGAGGTTGACCTTACATTATGTCAGTTCGTTTGGGGGTTTGATAGGAGAGGGTGTAGATATCCTGCATGGCGTTCAGTACGATCCTCAGTAATCAAATTAATCCATATTCACACGACAATGTTTGGATTTTGATCAGTGCGACAGGTTATATCAGGGAACAATAATCCACATTCTTGATAGGCAATAGCCCTGCCTCTATCGAATTTCAACACTTGCTACTAAGTCTTTTATCTTATTATTCGAGGCAAACTGAGCAAACTCTGACCTTACAAAGCTATCTTCAAGTAAGAAATCCCCTGGACATTTTTTTTTCTTTTAAATAGTGTTTCAGGTCTCATTTCGCCTTCCTGCGCAGTCTAAATATACTGAAATACTAATTAATTGCATATTCCAACTTCTTCCTCTTTTCACGTAATTTTAACGTAGTTGGATCATTCATTCCTGGTTTTGCAAGCCTAATGCCCAGCAATGTAGTTTAAGTCATATTATTTGTTCAAAATTATTTTTAAAAATTCTAGGCTAAGGAAAAAGCACAAGTAATGTTTTATAGGAGGCATATTCAATTTAATCAATGAATTAACATTCAAATTGCTGTACAACAACATCTAAATCAATAAAAAGATTATTTATCAATATCAACATCAGTGACTATTAATCAAAATAGCTATAATGCCAATATTTTGTTGACCTCAATCTCCCCGTTTGTGTTACCTGCCATTCTTATCTAGATTGCTTAGAGATAAATGTTAAAAGGAAATATTTAATAATCAACTTCAAATTTCAACATAACAAGAATACTTTAAAGTAAGAAACTGTGGATATGGGGAAAAGAAAATCGAAGAAATAGAATCGAGCACAAGAGTGGAACTTACGCAAACCTCAGATAACGTAGAGTACATTGATTGTATGTAACACTAAACATTTGTGATATATATGCAGTGATGGTGATATGATATTTTATATATATATACAGATTGTTAACTTCAAGTTCACTAAATACTTAATAACGTATCTAAATCAGAATCGCAAATATCTTTGTCATTTTTTAAAACTTTTACTGTATAGGTATCGGAACACGTTGAAAATTACCAAATTCGATCTAGACAGATATTTTTGTTTCTTATTTTATTGAATACAGCTATTTTTTTGGCTTTACAAAATATTCTTTGTTTTGTTTCTACGCTTTCTAGAGGCCAAACTACAATCAATTTTATAAAGTTAGATAAATTGTAAGTGGGTCTTTGATCTAGTAAAAGTGGGCCTTCAAATTATTCAAAATCTATCACGGCGAGTCTGATAACTCAAAATATTACAAATGTATTTCTATAAAACTTTTTGAACCTGATATTTATACTATTTTCTAGAGATTTTACTAAACTAATTCTTGTTGTATGAATACTTTTTGAGTTAAGGCTTGCTATTTAAATAACGGTATCATAAATAATGTGAATTTTCTTATAATGTTTACTCAATCAGCTCTAAAATTTTCAAATTTTAATAAAACGTTAAAATTGTAGTTCATTCTCTAGAAAAATGCATCTAATTTGTCTTTGTAATACTTTTACTAATGTGAGTTTATCACTTTTTTTCTCTAATTACTTTCAATTTTTACAAAATTATTGCTAAAATTTCACATATAATTGTAATTTTTGTACAATTTTGACAATTTATTTTAAATATTGTTGGTTAAATATTAGTATTTATTGCTATTGAATCCTAAAAAAGCATTTATAATGTTTAAGTATGTTTTTTTGCCAAAAAGTACTCCGAACGTGTTCGGAAAACTTTAATAAAAATTTGGGGAGAAAATAATCTTTGAAACTTATATTTAGGAAAAGTGTACTATAAATATTTAAACAAGTAGAAGATGCGATGAAGGAAACATGGAGTTTGAATGTGTTTTTAAAAACAGTAACTCACGCACTTACATGTAGCAAAATACGGTGCACATTAAGGAAGGTTAATGAGATTATTTTCTATCTGTTTTTTGTAATATCAAGAGATTCCGTAAACATTCATTAAAAGTAAAGTGTAACAGAAAAAAAAAAACATTAATGAATGTATTAGCAGAAAAGAGTAAATGTATATAGAAAAGTTTTATATGTCTCCTTCTGTTTTTTCTCCTAATTTTTGTAATTGTAATTGGATAGCAAATTGAATTAACAACAAGAAGATATTTCGATACTTTGTTATTGCATCGAATTGAATTATACGAGGCTGTAGATAGTAAATAATTAGTTTTGATGCTTTTTGGATTAATTGAAATAAATACTCAAGGGGAAAAGGGGATAGCGGACAATACATTATTTATCTAATTGATCATTTTTTCTCATTAAATGAAATATTATTTTGAATGGAAATATTTTTGTAGAATGGTAACTAATTGTTAAGTTTAGAAAAGATTCGTTTTGTTATTAAGAAACTAAGAGACATAGATTATTTGCCATTTTTGTGAACATAATATTTAAATATATTAAAATCGAAAGAAAAAAATTATATAAATTATTCCTCCATTTCTCACTGTCATTCATCTCTTAGAATTAGAATATCTAATCACTTTATAAAAATTCAAGTAATTACATCAAATGCATTGTAAGATTTACTTTTTTTCGTTCAGGATACTAGATTTTATGGCCAGACTTAAATTCCTCAGGAATGTGTACACATTTGGATTTTTAAAATATTCAATTACCTTAAAATTTATTTTTGTGTGCTTAAAAAACTTATTTTTTAGGCTTATTAAGATAAGCATATTCTATTTTCCCTTTATGGAACAATTTTGATTGGGGGGGATATGGGTGGATGGGATTTCAAGATGCAGCTACGACATTAAGACACGTTTTAAGTAGAATGTGTATTTTGGAAAAACTCAAACAGGGTCAGTGGTTCATGTAAACTTATTAAGATAAATAGCTTAAATTTTTAGCGCATTTTATGTAATATTGTAATTTTATTTTAAAAATTTATTTAAAATTAGTGCGTTATTACAAAAAAAAATTCCGACCACTTATGCAAGTGAAATAAGTGTATTCTTAAATGGTTCCATGCAGTAACCAAGATAATTGCGTCTATTTTTAGTAAATTTTAATTGTTCCTTATCTTTCAGGTCATTTAAAGAATAAAAAATATAATGCAAGATATAATATTCGTTCATAAACATTTTGTTTACTGAGCAAAGCATTTACGTAATTTTCTGTACAATTTTTGCGGTTTTTCTCCATTTTGACATTAGGTGTTTACTTTTTTTTAGTCTTAACAGTTTAGAACCTTAGAAAGAGAACAACCTTAAAAAATTAACACAAGCCCTTTTTTAAAAAAAAGGAAATCCGCATATAGTTACTATAAAGTTAATGATATTCCATACTCTTTGATAGAAAACTGCCAATAATTATTCTTAGCTTGTTGCTTAAGATAACACATAACAATAATTAATTGAAAAGAAAAAGGAAACATATACTATAAAAAAATATTACAGCTAAATATGATGCAACCGGATTAGATTTCTCAAAGATTTGCTCACATAAATATAAAGTGGAATTCTATGTGTTCAACAAATATCTTTTTATTTACAATCATTTACTACTGAAATAAAATTTTGTTACGCTTGTACGAATACATTCTACTTCCCAATTAATCTATTAAGGTTACACAGTACCTGTTTCAAAAAATTATTTGGAGATACAGTAACGGTAAAAATAAATTATGTTTTATATTCAGATTATATTATAAAGAAGATTCGTAAAGTTATATATCATTTTGATCAGCCATTGTTTTTACAATCCTAAAATATATATATATATATATATATGAAGCTTTTTCAAACTCTTTAAGCTCTTCAAAAACTTCTCTCTCTTCAAAACAACTTTTTTAGTCATTTTAATTTATTTATGCTCCTTAGATTATTGTGAGCAAAAGTTAGTATGTATTTGAAAATCTATCTATCTATCTATCTATCTATATATATATATATATATATATATATATATATATATATATATATATATATATATTCCCTTGTTCATTTTATTACAAGATTTTATTTAACTTGCAATGTAAAATGTTCGGGTGGAATCTTTCAACTCAGTTTTGGAGCTGATGTCTTCAAAGGATTGAGCTGAAATTTTATATACACGTTTAGTATGGATGGCAATGCATGTTTTGAACATTTATATTCCGATATCGCAATTAATTAAAAATATATGTATTATTTAAAGTAACTTGTTCGGGTTGAATCTTGCAACTCAATTTTGAAGCTAATGTCTTCAACTGATTGAGCTGAAATTTTGAATACATGTTTAGTTTGGATAAAAATGCATGTTTTGACGATATATATTCCGATATCGACCTAGTTACTGTAACGATCTTGTTCAGGTGTTAAGGCGAGTATGTTTACAATATCTCAGGTATCAACCGAAAGCGTGGCTCAGATGGTGGAGCGCTCACTTATCATGCGAGAGGTTCGGGAATCAATACCCCTCGCCTCCAATTGCTATTTTTCCATGTAAAAATTTTTAAAATTCGTTTAATTTGTACAACGAGGTATTTTACAAAAGTTCCACTCTGCATACGTACAAGAAATGTTATATTTTTACTGTTCTACAGGGAACACAACGAAAGAATGACCTATCAAAATATTACTATTTACTTTGAAACAATTTAAGATATCTAATTACTCGATTCTAGTTTCTCCTGTAACACTTTTAATTGACCTAGTTACTGTAATGATCTTGTCCAGATATTAAAGCGAGCATGTTTACATTAACACATGTGTCGACCAGGAGCGTAGCTCAGATGGTAGAGCGCTCGCTGATAGGTAAGATGATTGATACCTTGCGCCTCCAATTATATTTTTTTCGTTTTGTGTAAAATATTTGATTGAGCTTAGAGAAGTTCAGATTTTTCGGCCTTTTTTAAAAAAATAATCTCATTATTTCTGTCTAACTGAGTCAAAGAAAAATAATAACCTAATGGGAAAGATAATTTATTTCGCCAAAATATAAGAAAAGTAATGATATTTCTATTTTGTGCAATTTTTTCTAAAATGGTTTAAAATCGATGCGTTTACATGAAAATGATTTCTAAATCGTTCCGTATGATTTTTTTCATGTTAATGCATCAATATTCTGTAATAAAAAAGTTCAGTGTTTTCTCTTAGAGTTAGTCATTCAAAAATTAAAATGCCTAAAACGATTTTTTACGATTTTTCAAAAAATTGGTTTAAAATTACGGATTTAAAAAATTGTGTTTTTTGTTTTTAATATAGTATTATAGTAAAAGCAAAAAAAAGGAGTTTTAATATTTTAGTTAATTTTTCTTCGTCCAATGTTGTTTTGATCTTAACAGTGTTTATCCCTCCTTCCCACATTATCCTCTTGTTGCGAGTCGAGTAAAATATATATCTTATGTATGCGGTCTGGTGGAAAAAAAGGTTGAGCACCTCTTAGCTGGACTGTTCAAAATTAACCGGCAAACGACCTTTTAACATATACGTGTTCAATGAGATTTACAGACTGAGAAAGCTCTGTCCAGCGATAACTAAAAAGTAAAAAATAACTTAAAAGTAAAAAAAAACATTTTTTAAAAACAAGCTAAATTCTCTAAAAGGAATAAAATAAACTGTTCTTTTAAATTTTTTTTTTGCTATCAACTTATACATTCGTTATACAGTTTATGATATAAAAGCTTGTAGCGAGATTTACCTGTGTAGATAAACAAGCAAATTAAATAACTTGATCTGACCAATTTTAATTTAAAAAATTTTCAAACTAAGTAATTACGAGAATTTAAATCTCGCGACAAGCTTTTATATCAGAAATTGTATAACGACTGTATAAGTTGATAGCAAAAAATGCTTAAAAAGAAAAGTTTATTTCATTCCTTTCAGATTATTTAAATAAAAGCTTGTTTCTAAATTTTTTTTTTGCTTTTAATTTACTTAATAAATATTTTTCAAGAAATACCTGGAAAAAACATGATTTTTTTTAAATAGTAACTTCAGCATTTTAAAAAAAAATTACTAGATATTAGCCTTAAATCCATTCTAATTTTTATAGAACATACGTTTACAGGTATATACAAAAAAATTCAAGACCTATGCTAAACAAAAAAAAAAGCCTTACGGTTCAAAAGGCACTTATACCTTCAAAACTGAAAGTTTGAGAAAAACGCGTTTCAAGTTTGTAAAGCAGTGTTTCCAAAACTTTCAATACTGGCGACCCAATTTTCAATCATAATTTTTGTCGCCCCCTGTACAACAATAATGTATTTACTGCAATAAAATCACTTTGAGAGAGAGACGCTAAAGTTACAATATGATCTTAATTACAAACCGTACAAATTAATACGATAAGTACATTAAATTTTGTATATGTAACTTTTAAGTAATATATATTTTAAGAATTTTTTTTACTTGAAATATATATTACTTACTTATTACTATGTTACTTTTTTTCTCTAATTTTTTAAAATTAGAACAGATCGCAAAATGATATATTTAATTAAAGATTTATTTCCTTCAACATCCATTTCTCAAAGTACAAATGCCATTAGAAAAATAGTCTAGTCTACACTGGTGTGCAAAAATTAAGGACGAGACGGTTTTTTCAATATAACTTTGTACAAAAGCTTTCCAAATCAACACATTTAATACCGTAAGATCCCCAATACGTAAGGACATGTGTAATGTAAGCAACACTTACTAAAATAGAAATTAGAGGGATAAAAAGAAGCTTGATTCAAAAAGTAGCATGGAGCGCAATGCATGAAGGCCGAAACATCCCTGTGATGGGTGTCCAGCAAAAAAAAAAAGGTCTTTAGTAGGGGATATGATCTCCCCTGACTGCTAGGCAGGTTTCACAGCGTCTGCCCATGCTGAGAATGAGGGTGTCAATGAGTTGTTGAGGCATTGCTGCCCATTCGTCTTGCAGCGCCAATCGAAGCTCCCGAATCGTTACTGTTGGTAAGGTAAGAGCTGCCAAGCGTCTACCTAGAAAGTCCCATACATGCTCGATGGGATTGAGATCCGGAGATCGTGCCGGCCAATCCATACGTTCAATATCCTCACTCTCTAAGAGCTGTTCGGCAGCTACTGTGCGATGACATGGTGCATTGTCGTCCATGAAAAGTAACAGCAGACCCATAGCGCCTCTAAAAAGACGCACATATGGAAGAAGAATCTAGTTGCAATAACGGGTCTCGTTGACTGAACCTGCGTCGAAGATGTGAAAGTCTGTACGACTACCAAGCATGATGCCTCAACAAACGAGAACACCGTGACATCCATACCTGTCCCTTTCTATGATGTTCGAGGGATGATTGCGGCTTCCCCGCTCTCTCCAGATGAGTATGCGATGAGAATCGCTACTCAAACTGAATCTGCTCTCATCTGTAAAGAGTACTCGTCCCCATTCATTGTCTCTCCAATTCCGGTGTTTTGGCACCACAGAGAACGCCTTCTCCGATGGGCAGGCGTTAAAGGTGCACACCGTATAGGGCGTCGTGCATACAGACCACCACCGTGCAGTCTTCTGGCCACGGTAAAACGCGATATCGGTCGTCCAGTCGCCTGTGTCGTGTGTCTAGCGATTTCTCCCGCTGTCTGCTGCCTGTTTCTTCTGGACTGTAAGACAATGTACCGGTCATCTGCGGGTGTGGTTCCTCGTGGACGACCACTACTGAACTTCCGGATAGCTGTTCCTGTAGTTTGAAGTTGTCTCCAAAGTCGTGAAACAATGTTGTGAGCAATGCCGAACTCTGCAGCCACACTTGTCACACTGCGGCCTTCCTCCAACTTCCCAATGATTCGACCTCGGGTAAAAGCATCCAGCTGTCGTCTAACAGATTGATTATTCGCCATTTTTCGCTGAGGCAGCAACTTGGTGTGATTTTAACTGCTATGCGGCGTGCAATCTCTTTGCAAGAAATACTGATCTTTCACCGACAACATGCTTTATACTACTCAGACACTCCCCCATTACGTCTACCTGCATATCTGCGCATGTGCTACCGTACATCACCTTACTTAATCTTCTGATTGGTCTTTCTGTCCGCTCTGCCTCTTCGTTCAGCTGATATGCTAATTTTTCGACTTCGTCCTTAATTTTTGCACACCAGTGTATGTTGCTTCCTTTTATATCCATCACATCTGGCATTATCGGGTACGTTTGCTTAAGTCTGGGCAACCTATTGGACGTCTGCGCATAACATGTAAAAATGCTTTTCCTCGAACAATTCCAGTCAGTTTTGGTCGACTTGATACTTCTATAGCTACCGAATCTAGCTTAAATGTACATTTTTTAATTTACACGTTAATTGTAATTCACGGTAATTAAGTATTTACGGCAGTAGATTAAAACAAAATCATACATGCATTTTTAAGTCGTAAGCAAACATTTGACCATAATAAAGGATCAACAAGTACACAGACGAACGAGCATGGTTCCGAAAATTAAATCAAGGCAATATTCTCAAATATACTTAAATTTTGGAGTTACCACTACTGAGGTAAATAATGGGAAAATGCACCAGCTCGATATGTGTTAAAACTTACAAATCTGAAGAAAAACATGCAAAAGTTGTTTATAAAACCATGTAAAATCATTTAGCCAAGTTGGCAAATAATTTTAAAAGTGTTTTTTGTATGAGGACAACTTGGTAGCAAGTTATGAGTGGATTAGGGATTTATTTCAAGATTACCTTCCGAACTCGATGTGAAATCTTCAGAGATTTCACATCCAGTGAAAAATTAAAAGACAATTCTGTAGTAAATCGTTCTTTCAATTTTCGGTAGAGGTGGATGATGAATTTTCTGTACTGAAAACAAAAGCACTTCGTATACTATTGCCATTTTCAACATCCTATCTTTGTTAAAGCGGATTTTCTGCGGTGGCTGCTTTGAAGATAAAATATAAATCTCAGCTAAATATAAAAAAATAACTCAGAGTGTCAATTTCTGATATTAAACCTTAGTTTGAAAAACTTTGCTCTACAAGACAAGCCCATGGAAGTCCCTAATAATTATTAAACTTGTTCTTAATTTAGTATTAAGAAATTATTTATAAAATACCTTCTTAAGTTTACTGATACATTAAGTGTATACTGGCTGAAACACCGGCTCTTCGCACGAGTTCATTTTTTTAAAAAAATATAACATTATTCTTGATATAATAGCTGAACTGTAAGGAGAGTAAAACTGCGTGCACGACATTGTATACAAAAATGTAAAATGATTTTTTTAGATAAATGCTATAATTTAAATATCTGTTTAAAAGAACTGTAATTTTAAACATCACAGAATTAGCATTTAGAATTAATGTTAAGTAATGAAAAAGAATATAAAATTCCTATGAAGAATAATTGTGTTACTTTTCAATATTTAAAGCGAGAAGACTTCAAAATGTTTTAACCCGGTAGCAGGGTGCACTCGATACTAACGCTAATGGTAGTGTGGGGGATCTGAGTCACCTCAATCATTTGTTTATAATTAT